TATTGGTACCCATGTTTCATGTTGGTTATTGATAAGATTGGAGATAGGGAAGTTAAGGCCAAATGGTACTCATTGGAAATTTCCTAGCTGCCTTCTTTTCTTTTCTACCTTTTTTTTTTCTTTGATTGGGATGGTGGTGTTTGTAGTGACTCTGTGCTACAGTTGATTTTAAGAGATCCTATGGGATAGATGTGGGAGTCCTTGAATGCCTAAGTTTTAAATATATTTCAAGCGGATACCTTTATTAGTCTAAGGTGATTCAGAAAATGCTAAGGCATGGGCATTGGGAGAAGTGGAATATCCTTGGGGAGATGCCACTGAAAGCAATTGTGTCCTTGGAGACATTCTGCATATTCATACTTTTAAGTGCCAGTATGGATGTTAGAGGGTCAAAGGGTCTCATATATGCAGTCTTTGTGGTTTTATCTAAGTTGTGGCTTTCTTTCAAAACACTTTTTTTTCCCTATCTTTCTTGCTTTTCTTTTTTTGCTTGCACAACAAAGCTTGCATATTTTATTATCTTGTTGCATTTGATAGTTGTCTAAATCCTGAATATTTAGATTCAAAATTTAATACCGACATGTATCTTTATTTGCCTATTAAGAAGTCTGTACCACAAATTCCACTTGGCAGTTCCAATAATCTTTCATGTTTGGGTCTTAACTATATTTCACACTGTGCCATATTTGTGAATCTAGAGATATATTTATCTGATTGAAACTAATTCACAAATATGGCATAGTGCAAATGAAAATGCAAGACATTTAACATCACACTAGTTACTTGAGGTGATGCAAGTAGGAGATACAAATACATTGAGAGTTTCACACTACTTGATTATCAAGTGCTTGAAGCATTTTGATATTCTGCATCTATTTGCTTTCACTCTGAATTTGAATTTGTTTTATATTTTGTGCTTAAGGCTCAACTTGTTTGTAGTGCAAATTTCATTTGCACTGGTGTAAATGCATGGGTGTTCTTTCACTCTGAATTTTAATTTTTATTATTTGTTTGTGAGAAACAAATAGGAATTAAAATGAAGTGGTCCCTGCTTTATATGAAAGATAAAGGAGATGGAATGAGAATTTTTTGTTTGGGTCTTTCAAAACTTATAATTTCTTTTAAAACTCAGGTTTATGTATTTTTAAAACTTGCACCTTAATTTTCTTGTGCCTTTCACTTTAAAATTAAAAGCACTATACAATACATAATTAAACAATGATTAAAATTTGTATATGGGATATCTTCTCTTTCACTTTTTAATTTTATTATATGTTGCTAATACTATACCATACTAAATTATTTTTTTAATTAAGATGTTGATCCTAGGATTGTTTATGCCCACAAAGCATGAGACAGGAGACAGTTCAACAATCCAATAAACTTTTATCTATTTATTTATTTATTTTATTCAATTTAATAAAATGTTATCTAAACATTTATTTATTTATTTAATAAAATTAAATATATTATTKMTTTTTATTTACTCCTTTTATATTTTATTTTTAAAGTATTTATTTAGTTAGGAATAATTTACTAACAAACTATTATTGCTAGCAAAAAGGAAACTAGATTAGGGTTATCAATGGGTTGGGTCGATCTAATGGACCCAAACCGATCGAACCAATTATAACAGCTCCGGTTCTATGATTTGGTTGGTTTCCTTTGGCAAATGATCTTTGCTGTATTTAATTTTAATATGTGATCATTTAAAAACAACACTCAAATAAATCCAGTTCTTTAGTATGTGTTGACAACTCCAACAATAAATAAATTCATTTGCTTGATATGTTATTTGACTCCTTGTGTAAAAAGCCCATACATATGAGAGTAACTGAGGTTTACACCAAGTCCTGGACACCTGCCACTCAGTGATTGGTTAGTGCAGGAAAGCCAGACTCAAATCATTCTGCTTCCATTCCTAATCTTCCTAATCTTCCTCTGATTTATGTATCCGAAATTCAGGATTCAACGTGAGCCAGTCAATGACGTCCTAACTTTGTTTAGGTTATTCCCGTGTTTAAAAATCTTGGTATCACCTTGAGATTCATGCTATGAGTTGATATTGTCGTTGCTGCCTTAGATAGTGATGAACTTCTTGAGCAACAACTATTTCTTCCTTTGTGCCAAATCTGTTGTGTGAGGCTAGACATTCTATATATGATTGATAAGTAATGTGATCCATTAAATAGGCCACTTAAGGATTAAAAATATCCTTCACATAGAAATTAGCTGGAAACTTGGAACTTGTCGTTGCCATCTTTGCCTATTTGTTCATCCACTTTTCCTATAAATCATTTCAGGTATTCGAAGATGAGAATGAGGCGGTCAGATATTGCGATCTCCGAAAGGGAGGAGGTCAAGGCAGTCACAACATGTTCCAATTACACGGTGGGATGTGGCTGTGAGGTCGGTGTGAGGAGCGCTCTCTGAGATGTGGCTAATGCTAATTAAATTAATACCAATGCGATGTTGATTATAATATATTTATTGTTTAAGATTTTTATTACAAATAAACTCCCAACTTGTCATTTTTTGTTCATATTGAATACTTTTCAGACCATAGACATCTCTCTCTTTCTTTCTCAGTCCAAGCATCAACCATCGGTACTCTACACACTCTTTATCTCCTCTTCTCTTAGGTACACTTTCTCTCCCCCTCTCAATTAAAATTAATTAATTATTTATTTATTTTATACAATTCAGTTAAAATAAATAGTTAGTTAAATCACTTAATCAACTAAATTTAGATTAATTAATTGATTTAACTAATTAATTTATTAGTATTAATGTAATTATTTAAATTAAATTAGTTACTTTAACATATTTCTATGGCATATAAAGAATGGGGGAAAGAAAAGGAAAGAGACGGTTTTCTATGCACCCCAAATCATAAAAGAGGGAGGGGGCTCTCTTTCTTTCTCCTAGCTACTCTTAAGATTTGGGGTATAGGGTTCAATACACTCTCCCCCTCTCATTTTGTTAAAAGATCGATACATATAATTTAGTGCTTCACCAAATGTTGCAAGCGTTATGTTATTTATATATAATTTTGTATTAGAAATATATAGTGATATATTTATATGATTTATTTGTTTTATCATTTTATTGAAATTACTTTCACAATTCCACTAGCCCCTGCAACCCCTCCGTTAGTTATAACTTATAAGTAGTAGTAGGGTGAGTATAATTCGGTTAAAATCGAACTAAAATTTCGGTTTTGGTTTAATTGGTTCGATTTAATCGATTTTTGGTTCAGTTTCGGTTGTCAAAATCATTTTTTCTATATTTTGGTTTTTTATTTCAGTTGTCATTATTCACAAATTGGTTAACTAAAACTGATTTATTTTTGAAGTAATATAAATTTTTTTAATATTATTGATAGTTGATATGTAGATCTCTGCATACTTGCATAGGACTCTTGATAGAAAGTGGAAGCTGCCCGGTCCAATACAAGGAAACTTCAAATGTCAAGACTATAAGGTGTAGGGAAACCTTTCCCTACCTTTTTTCCTTCAAACCAAACATAGCCTAAAATTTAACTAAAAAGGGAAAACTAAAAAGAGTACGAAAATTCCTTTTCCTCTTAAGCACACCAGTCTCTACTCTCTAGAGTCTGATAAATAACAATTCCTTTTCTTCTTAAGCACATCAGTCTCTACTCAAACTTTCAAATAATCCAAGTCTCATAAGTCCTAGTCAGCCTAGAGTGAAGAATGAAGACTTCAGACAAACCATGAACGAGAGAGGTTGTAACCGAACGAGAGAGTTTGCAACCTGTAACCATCTTCAGAGATTGAAATATTTTAATCTCTGATAAATAACAATATTTTAATCTCATTTTTGATAAATAATAATATTTTAATCTTCAATAATTGTTGAAAATTTATAGCTAAAATATACAATTATTGAAAAATATATTGATAATGAAAATAATACAATAATTGCAAAAATACAATAAGAACTAAAAATATATTAAAATAGTCAATAAATAGTATAATCTCAAATAATAGTATAATCTCTAATAAATATTAATCAATAAGTTATATAAAAAATATAATAAACAAAATTTAAAAATTTTAATAATAGTAGTTTAATCTCCAATAATTATTGAAAGTTTTTTGATAAATAACAAAATAAAAATAAATTTATACATAATTATATTGAAAATACATTTATCACAAAAAACAATAAATAATTACTGAAATACTAAATATTATTATTAGAATATATAATTATATAATAAATATATATTAAGAGTTTAAAATTATTATTAATAAATATTAATTTTTGTGAAAGTTATTTTCTCGAAATATTAATTGATATAAGTGAAAATAGTTACTTTAAATAATATGTAAAAATATTAAATTATTAATAAATTTATTTAATTATTAATTTTGTAAAATATTAAATTATTATTAATTTCAATATTATGTTATAATTATTTTTCTACTTTTCATTTTTTTTAATTTATTACATAACTTATTTATTTTAACTAATTTAAAATCTAGTTATGTTAAATATTTTGTTATTTAAAATATTTAGTTACTTAACTACTTAAATAATATGTAAAATATTAATTATTTGTTGAATTTAATAATCCATAAAAAATATAATTTATATTATTATTACATAATTTTATTATTAATTTTGTAAGATATTGAATTATTATTAATTTCAATATTATGCTATAATTATTTTCTACTTTTAATAAATTTTTTAAATTTATTACATAATTTCGTTATTTTAATTATTTAAAATCTAGTTATGGTAAATATTTAGTTATTTAAATATTTAAATAATACGTAAAATATTTAAAATTATTTAGTTATGTTAAATACTTTCATGATATATTATGTAAAAATATAAAATTATTTTTTTTATGTTTTTAATAAATATTTTAAAGTTATTATATAATTTTGTTAGAATATTTAAATAATTCTTAAATTTTTTAATCCAAACTTTCTTTGGACAGATATAGATAAAAAGTTGGGGAGAGGATAAATAGGAATTAGAGATAAATTAGGAGACTCTACTAAATTAGAGATAATTTTTGAGATAAATAGGAATTAAAGATAATTTAGAAGATAAATAGAAATTAGAGATAATTTTAGAGAAAGTAGGGGATAGTGGGGGAGGTAATTTAGAAGAAATTTTAGAAGATGAAATTATTTAGGTTATTGGGAAAGTGCATATCATTGGTTGTTTCAAAAATAATATGGAATAAAAAATTAAAAAAAAAAAGGAAAAATTTTTATTTTAATATATATTTTCAGTATCGGCTGCTTAAGATACCGCGGCAACCATTACTTGACGCCATTCCAAAAACAAAAACTCTCTCCTAAGGATAAAGGGAGGAAAGAAGCGCTCCTTGGGAAGATAGACAACAAAGCAGTGTCTCTCATTTCCGAAAGAATCTTAAAAGGATAACGTGGCTGTGGATTTCATCGGCTGATAGTCCTATGCAGAATTCCTAATCTGTAATCCCAATCAGAAAAAAAAAAAATGAATTACGTGATCCAATTTTCTGTATTTTCCTCTGGATTTCTTTTTTTTTCATTTTAAATTTTGAAAAAAGAAAAGAAAAGAATGCTCTCTGGTCTCAACTTTCTTATGGGTGTAGACGTGTAGTGTAATGTAATTGTTGCAAGCTTGAGATACACATGTACAAGTTGTGAAATTAACAGATTTTGCTTATTCTGCAGCGGTTCTGAATTTAAAAACTTTCTCTGGTTCTCTCGTTCCAAAATAATGTTTCTACCAGGATTTAACGTTTCTTATTGCTCTATTCCTCCTTATACCCTTGTTTCTTCTCTAATCCCTATGGAGCATTGCAAGTATTAATGGTGGGAAGCCCATTAATGGAAATCACACTGCTCTCCAAAAGCACATTGTCTTCTTTGACATAAACAAAGATGGGCTCATTTATCCATGGGAGACCTTGGAAGGTTCCCTTCTCTACAATTTTTTAATTTTTATTCTCCTTTATGTTTATCATGGATCGCTCTTTATCTTATCAATCGAGCAAATCATTCATTTTCACAGCCATTTTGAGGTTGTTTGGTATGACTTTCGTTTATTTGATAAACGGTGCCAGGTTATCGTAAGGTTCAAAATATCGATACACCCAATACGCCGGTATAGGCGTATCAGGCGAATCAATACATCATTTTAGTGCTTTTATTTTTTTATTTTTTTTCGCAACTGGCTCAGGGGAGACAATTTAAGCCTCCTCCACACCCTGAACCAGTCAGACCCCCGATACACCCACTATAGAGGCATATCAGAGGGGTCCTGAAACGATACGTATCGGCCACTATGTGTCGATACTTTGAACCTTGGATTATTGCCATATGGGCATTTGTCCCATCATGCTATTTCATACGCCTATTTATCTTATAAATGTTTGTCTTGGTTTACATGCAAACCAACAATATAAGAAACTTCATTTTAATGTTTCCCCCAACACAAAGGTGTTTTATTTACTGTTCCACTTATGTGGCTCCTAATGGCACATACCTGTCAACAAATACTAGAAAAACGTTTATCAACCACTTTTTCTCGGTTTTGAAGACAAATCAAGTACAAACGTTTATTTAATAAAAGAAAGTCATACCAAACATATACTTTATGTGCAACCAAACACCGCAAAATAGCAATTTTCAGAAAACCATTCATTTTCCTTCATTATATGTGCAACCAAACAGAGCCTACAATCCAATTGAAACCTGAACCCAATTAATTCACCAGAAAGAGTGAATTACCAACTGCATCTGCATACAAAGACGAGTCCTATAATGGCTGAACATTTTAACAAGGTCCTTCGCCACTCTTGTTTAATAACAACTAGCAAGAATGGCTAAAGTCAAAATTCTCGAATAGTTTATTACAGTAAAATCATAATTGTCAAAATTCAAAACAAAACAGAGAGAGAGAGAGAGAGAAGTAAGAAAGAAAAATATAACATGGAAAGATAAGGACCAAACAATTCAAGGAAACTAAACTCTTGTTTTTGAATATTCCTACCCTTGCTCGCGAAGACCAAACATCCAACATTACTGGTGCCACTGCCAGCAGTACAAGTTTAACAAGACTCCTGATTCAGCAGCTCAATCATCTTTTCTGAGAAGGAGAACATAGCAAACCAGATGCATCTGCTCCAACAACTGCAAGTTCACATACATTACAAAGCTGCCCCTCTTGTGCTGGCACGAACCGGGAACTGCAGTATGGACATGAGACATCTTTCTGTCCACGGTATATTGGCACATAAGTTGCACCACAAACCACAAATGGATTTCTGAAGTCATAGTTCAGTTGGCTTGAATCTCGCATGTTCCTCTCAGCAGCCTGCAGGACTTGCCTGGCTGTCTTTGCCTGATTTTCAATGGTGGGATTTGTCTCCAAGAGCCGCCTGGCAAAGTTGGCTGCTGTGTTGAGGTTCCCTGACTTGTAACAAACAGTCATGGCATTCAACAATGCAAGCCTTAAGTGAGGCATCTGAAGGTTGCAGTGCGTGAAGTATGCAGCAAGCTCTTGCTGACGTACTGGGTTGTCCTTAAGTTCCCTCCTCTTCAGCTCCATCTTCAAGCCCAGAACATACTCTTTTGCTATAATAATAAGCTCTTTGACTTCATCTACCTCTCTCCTTGACTCAACCACAATCAAAGGAATGGTGTGCAGGATATTCAGGAAAAGACGTAAAGCTTCTGTGAATTTCCCACTTGTGGTTGCCTTGTAGCCAGCCTTAAGCTTCTCTTCCAACTGAGAGAAGTTGAACACCAGTGCTGGTGGACCCCTCACATTGGGGCTCACTGACTCATTCCAACCACCCTCAAGTGCCAGTGAGATCACTGGGGCTGAAGAAAAAGCACGTAGATAGGTATGGCTTCCAGTGTGAAGATCGAGAAACATGGGCTTCAGAGGAGTAAAGTTCTTTATGCCTAGTTGCCGGCTAAGTAAGCGCATAGCAGTATCAAAATTGCCAGCTGCTGCATGTTCACCAGCAAGAGATGATTTCTGGATCCAAATCTGGCTTACAGGCATGCCAGGAGTTGGGGCAACAAATACAGCAGAGTGGGTGCCAACAGTGGCCTTTGGAGTATCAATCTCAGGTGGGAGTTCCAGGTCCTCAAGGTCCCATCCTCCCTCTTCTTCATTTTCTTCATGCACTTCCCCATCCTCTACCACCACTCTAATTTCCCCATTCTGCATGCCATCGACATCAACAATGTCCAAGTCCTCACCCCAATCACCATCAGCAGCTTCTTCATCCTCTTCCTGTGCACCCCTACCTGCATTATCCAGTCCACCCTCAAAAATGCCTTTCATAACCCTTAACAAGGGCCAGTCTCCTCCATAAAGAATAGGTGAAGGAGGCATCAGAAGTGATGGTACCTTCCCCTCGGGCAAAGTGGGAACGTTATCCCCCAACTCAATGGCAAGCCGTTCAGCAACATCCTGCAGACCATGAACAGCAGCTGTAACATACGCAAGGGGCACATGGCCAGCATTTTCCAAAATCTTGATGCGTTCCTTGACATCACCCAGATACAGGGCATTATGAAATTGGCCCATCACGTCATTCTTGATCTCAGCAATTCTCAGCATTTTAGACAGCTTGTCAATATTACCAGTTACCAGATAAAGGAAAGATAGCCTCTCAAAGTTCTTTGTCCTTTGGTATGCATATTCTACAATGCTGGCATTCCCCTGGCGCAGGGCCTCTACTCCCAACCTATACCAGTGATCTTTCTCATCAATTTCCTTAGCTGATGCAACAGCAATCTGAATATTACCACTCTCAAGTGCCAAGTTGAACCGAGTCCTCTCATCTTTCACAAAATGAAGAGCAACTTCTGGAAAACCTTTCTGCTGCAGATAAGCAATCATGGCCTGCCCACAGAGCTGCGAGTTCCTGATCATGCTCATAACCTGATCGTATCTCTTCTTTAAAAGCGAGAGCTTGAAAACATATTCTGTTGCATCAATTGCTATGGCACGGTTCTTTCCATCACGATCTAAACAATAGATGGTATTTCCAGATACCTTTGTAATATATATTGGGACATCAAGGGTCCTGATGATTCCACTGTCTCCATTAGGAAGGCAGTACTTGATGTGATTCAGGGTTGTATATATGAACACACCATTGTCATCCCAAGCTCCACTTTTCACACGGATAGTCTCATGTAGAGTGCAGCGATGCACAAGCTTCTTACTAGCAATAATGATAGCATGTTTGCTTAGCAATGCAACAGACTCCATGTCATTTGACCAAACAACATACTTAACAAAAGGAGTCTGAAGATCACCAAGAACAAGTCTTTGTTGGAGATCAAAGATGACCACTCTATCCTCAGCCCTGCACAGTAAATTGCCAGTTCCAGCATAGAATATTGCATCTGCAGCAATAGGAAGTCCACTCTTCTTCACAATCTCATTTTTGAGATTCTTAACTAACACTTGGTTGTTGCTCTTGTCAAGAACAGCAAACCTGTTTCGAGCAATAAAGATAGCTGATCCTCCAACACCTCTTTTTGCCTCTTGGACAGTATCACCCCTTGCAATACTGTCTTTTGGTATGATATAGAGTTCATAGGAACCCCCATCAACATCTGAACAAACCAATACAGCATTTTCTGTAGGGCTGTAAGATAGAGTTCTAGGGCCTTGATTCAAACTGATTGAACCAGGCCTTCTAATTGGGATGACTTGGTTGTCCTTGTGAGTTGAGAACTCATATAGGCGCAGGAACCGGTCTTTAACAAAGTACAAATGATCACCACTCACAGAAAAAGCAGGGCGTTCTCTCTCCAGCTTAAACACAATCATACCACTATCATGGCCAGCTGCCAGAAGGTTCATCTCTGGATGAGATGCAAGAATCCAGAAACGGTCATGCTCCCTACGGAAAGTCTGAACACCTGTCCTTTTTGTAACATCCCATACACGAATACTTTTGTCCTCTGAATTTGACACAATAATATCCTGTCTAGCATGAAACATCACACATGACACATTATTCATGTGCCCTCTCAATGTATCTACTTCCCAAGCCTTTGTATCTGAAAACAGAGGTTAATTGACTTTAAAACAAAAAATATAAATAGAAATCAATCAATAGATAGAAATAAAAGGAAATGTTTTTCTTTTTTTCGGAGAGTGGAGAGAACAGGTTTAACAGCATTACCATTCATGCGCCAGAGTTTCACTTGGCGATCATCAGCCCCAGAAACAATCAAAGGCAGGCTGGGATGGAATGCAGCCCAGTTGACACCCCGATCATGTCCTTCCAATACATATTTAACAACAGCATCAACTCCACCAAACAAATCTGTATTCATTTGACTTAGTCGGAGAATGTCATCTGCAGGGGACACAGTCTTCTTTCTCAGGGCACCAATGTCCCAAACACGGACAGTCTGATCCAAAGAGGCTGACACAACCAAATCCTCTTTAGGATGGAATGAGGCACACATGACATAATGGTTGTGACCAGTTAGTACCGAAATACAAGTGCGAGACTGCCAATTCCATATTCTGATTGTCTGGTCATCACTAGCACTAACAATCCACGGGTATTCATTATGAAATTGAACAGTACGTATGTAATCGAGATGTCCAAGAAGAGTAAACAGACATCGATGTATCTTGTAATTCCAAACTTTGATCTTATAATCATCTCCTGCAAAAGACAGCATTCTCTATTAAAAATAAAAGATAGTGTGTCCAGAACTCTACAGAAAATAATAACCATAAGCAAACACTACAATCACAATAGAACAGAACAAGATAGACAATATTAGGGTTACAAGACAGTTAGGGTAACAAGGAGGTGCTGAATTAAGGTGGTGTCAGAAAAATATCACCCATGCAATATAATGAAGCGTGAGGAAGAAGTTCTGCCGCATGGATCTAACACAACATAGAAACACCAAGCATAGTAACAAATTCTATCAACGAATTTAGTTGAGATTTTAAAAGGAAACGGAAAATAACACGAGCAAAATCAAGACATTTCCAATGAATGTGGCAAATTGGAATTGGAGAATTTTCAAATGCATGGAAGATGGGAACCAAATATTAATGACTTAATGGAGTAGTAGAATTGTGTACCTCCGGAGACAAAGAGTGGCTGAGATTTGTGGAAATGAACGCCACGAACAGGTCCGTCGTGTTCATCAAATCTATCGATAAGGGTACCCATTCTGTAATCCCAGAGCTGGATCACACCGCTGTGAAGACTGGCAAGAATCCATGGCCTTTTACTATGAAAACTTAGGCCTTTCACCCGATTACTCTTCGTTTCGAATTTCGTTAGCATCGTTTCCAATCAATTTTCAAACCCTAACCTAAGAACTGCATCAAAACATAAAACAAATTTCACCACAACTTACTCAATCACAGAACCCACTAACGTATGCCCACTATTACTCCAGAGATCGAATCAAGTTCGAATTGCCAATCATAACTTGTCCCCATAACCATCTTAGGGCTTCGATCCAGATGTCTCAGAGTGTCAATCAGATACAGATCTACAAGGATCAATTTTTCGAGATGACAAAAAATTTTTAAGAGGATACAAAATTTTACCTCAGATCTGAGAAGGAGAAAGTCGGATCAAGCGAAACCTCTCATCACCTCTGCAATCGCCACCATCAACGGCAGGAAAGGATAAGTCAGTGACAAGGGGTGTGGAAAAGCTGAGAGAAGGGGTGCCGGTAAAGGGGCACACAGATCGGGAGCTGAGAGAGAGAGAGAGGGTTTTGAGGTCTCTCGTAGATCTAGCCTCAACAAGAGAGAGAGAGAGAGAGTGTGTGTGCGCGCGCGCGCGCGTTTATGAGACAAAGCGAAGTGAATGCGGTGAGGGACAAAATAAACGAGGCCGAAGCCGGGGAGATGAATGATGATTCTCTCTTTGTATTAGAAATTTAGAACTAGACAGATTGGTAATACCATTTTTCTTTCCCGAAACCCAACTATCAACATTTTCTTATTCTACCATATTTTTTTGATAAACTACATATTATCACCCTATGCACTATGGGCGAAGTCATACTTAGCCCCCTGAATTCTCATTTATTACAAAAACCCACCTTAAACTTTTATTAGTACTTAATTATTGGGTTGATAATACAGATAAAGTTGCCATTCAAAATTCATGCATTCTTTTGTATTTTTCAAACATGAAGTATTTTTCTCTTTTTTTTTATGAATTTCTATCTTTTTACTGCATTCTGAATTTCCTTTTTGTTGTTTTTACAATTTTCCATGTTTTTTTTTTGTATTTTTTCATATTTTTCCTTCTGTTTTTGTCATTTTTTTAAATTTATCCAAACTTTTCAAAACTTGAAGATGCCCCTGTCAGAGAGTTTTATTTTATCGCCTTAAACTCACCTTCGGTTAGGTCACAATTAGTGACCATTAACAAAGTTTGTCCATGTAAAGCAACTAAATATTTTAAATGACCGAACTAATTAAGCCTTAACGGTTTACTTCCCACAACTACTACGTTGACACCCACAATTGACGATCTGAGGAAATATATGAGAATATTTATTTACTAAGATTAAAAGATTGGAGTTCTGATGAAACGCAACTTCTCTGCCTAACCGATTAATTGAAAAATCTAGTGGTCTTCAGCACTTTTGATGATGAGGTGTACTGAACATGCTATTTCCTATATACTTCAAAGTTCATGACTGAGTGCCAGTATTGTTTGTTCATGGTTGTTTTTCTCACCTATAATTAGGGGTGAGTATTATTTGGTTAAAATCGAAAACTTTGGTTTTAATTTGTTTGGCTCAATCTTTTTGGTTTTTGGTTAAATTGATTCGCTTAATTTGGTTTTTAATTAATTCATTTTTTTGTTTTGGTTTTTAGAATTAGAAATTCAGTTAACCAAATTAACTGAACTTTTTATTATTATATATGTAATATATAATATAATAAAATTTGATTTTATAATATATATTATATGTTATAATGTATAATAAGTATATATTATTAAAATTCAGTTTTAACCGGAATAACTGAACTGAAAATTTCGATTTTCTATAATTCGGTTTCGATTCGGTTTTTAAAACTAAACCGAATGCTCACCCCTACCTATAATGTAAAGATGTGGTTTAATGAAGCTCTTAAAGTCTGAACATGTACCCTTTTCTTTCAAACCAAACACTGCCTTATTGTCAATGATCAATCTTATGAGGGTTAAGTATTTTCTTGCTCTATGATGGTTGCCTGTCATTATTTGAGGATGTTGGTAATTTGTTGGATCCTCAACATCAAACAGTTGAGAGTGGGCTTTGGTGCAACAGTTGGGTTGCTCTATTGCAAATTAGGTGACTAAGGTTCAAATCTTGAAAACAGCCTCTTTGTATGTGTAGAGGTAAAGTTGTATACATCTATCTCTTCCCATATCCCACATGAGTGACATCCTTGTGCAACTAGGCTGCCCTAAAATCAGGTAGCTATTTTATTTAGGCCCAGTTTGGAAGGAGTACAAATACAAATATGTATTGTACAAAACCTTGAATTTTATATTATTTTATATATATTTGTATTGTACATATTTGTATTTGTACTCTTTTCAAACCGAGCCTTATATTTTGTATTATTTTGTATGCATTTGTACTATACATATTTGGAAGGAGTACAAATGCAAATACGTAGAGTGAAAAACCTTATATTTTGTATTATTTTGTATGTATTTACAATGTACATATTTGCATTTGTACTGCTTCCAAACTGAGCCTTAGGAAAAATGTTTTGACACCATTGCAAAAAAATTATCTTATTTGTTTATTGCTTCTTTGGCCCATTCATTTTCCTGTCTCTCATGAGGGTAAGTTGGCCCTCGCATTCTTATGCCACTATAATGTATCCCACAGTAAGTGAATTTTTCGGAGTCAGTTACCTAGCTAACTGATACCCTCTTGGAGGGTGGGTAAATTGTTTACCCACCCATCCATAACACTCTCCCCCTCCTACCTCTTCCTTTATTCAAGTAAGTTACATCACGCCTGAGAAGCACTTGTTCAAGTAAATTCACTTACTCAAGTAAGTTAATATGAAAGGAGCTTTTGAGTTATTGGGGATGAATCTCTTTCACTCATAGTTTTTAAAACTGGATCAGATCGAATGGTTGGACCAGAAAAATCAGGAATCAGTCAGGTGATCGATTTCGTTTTTCATCAAAATCGAATTTTTACCCCAAAAAAATGTTAATTTAGTCAACAAACCATAGATTCAGATGATTAAATTGTTCAATGATTTTGACCATTTTTTATTTTTTTATTAGAACAGACCAATCATTCAGTTCAAACGATCAGACCCAGGAACCGGACCCAAACCAGTTCGTTATCCGGATCGGTTTTAAAAACCTTGCTTCCACTTGATAGCTCATTTGTTCATGTTCTTCCATTTAACTAGAAATTCACAATATATCTCTTCTTGGATAATGATGGTTGTAATCTTCTCAAATGATGACGGTAGATATGTTATCATAATGATGATTGTATTAAAAAAAAAAGTTAGAATTCAATGGTCAGCGGCCACTATTTCTTTCAAATGACAGCACTGTATATAATGCTTGCCACGGGTAAAGTTTCAGGGTAAGAACAGAGATAAAAAAGAATTTGCTTATAGTGATAATGAGAAATACAGTGGTTCGTGGCCACTACTTCTTTTCAGATGACTTCTCTTACAGTGGTTGTCTTTGGGTGTGGATTAGGTTATTCCTTTTCTTAGTTGGCAGCCAATTTGCTACTTGAACAAAGTCTCAAAGCAAAATAGATTTTTGGGTTCAAGTGAGAAAGGTATGTTCGGAAAATGATACAAATTGCAAATCCAAATGGAGGGTTAAAATAGTAATTTTGTCTGTATCTTAATAGCAAATCTCTGAGGACGGTCTATGGGGGTTTAGAAAATTCAAGGTGAGTTTAAAAAGAAATGCGGGAAAAGTGAAAGGGGGTTTTAGATAATAAATTAATAACCTTTCCTTTTTATATATTTCTGCATTTTTATGCTTTTTATTTTATTTTAGCTTCTTATTTTTTCCTGCATTTTTTGTTATATTTCTTATATTTTATGCAATTTCCCATGAATTATTTATTTTCTATTTTTTGTTGAATTTTATCAATTTTCTATAAAAATGGTCTCATAAAATGATATAAGAACAGCCTGCAATTTTAGAAATATTTGAGCACACATGACATGACAATCACATAAGAATCTTTTTTCGAAATTCATATGTTTGGTTTGAAGGAAAAGGTAGGGAAGGGAAGAGAAAAATAAGGAAATCAATGCAAAATTTGTATAAGTTTTCCTATCTTTTCTTTTCTTTCCCTACCTTTTCCTTCAATCCAAACAAAATACTAACAACTGGGGCAAAAGTGCTGAGATCTAAAAGTTAGAAGTGGGTCTTTTTTGCAAATAAAAGTTTGAGGAACTAAGTGTCACTACCCCTAAAGAACAGGGTGGTACTTTGTAATTTACCCTACTTTTTAAGTTGGCCATATAAACAATATTTTAGAGTTCTTCGATCTCATACGATCTCTTCCCTGTTATATGAAAATAAAAGAAATTTCTTGAACCATTTTCCAAGAGAAAACCGATTGAATCTTGGGAAGCCACATTACCACTTGGCGCTGTAATATGATAATATCACATTACCACTAGCAGTAATATAAAATTTACTACTCAAGACCCGTGTGATTCATGGAAAAATCTAATAAATCAGTGCTGTACTTGTATCGAAAAAATACAATAATTCAGTAACATATCAGTAATTATTCATTAGTTATACAAATATTTTTCAAAATTCTGTAATTTTTAATTTATTGAAATATTAACTAATTTTCAATATTTGTATTTTAAAATAGGACAAATTTCTCAAACTACCCCTAAGTTTAAGAAATTAATTAATTATACCTACTATTTCAGTATTATCTTAAAGTATTCCTATTATTTCTGACAATTGGTTAGCTCTATCCCTATCGTTAACATCGTTAATATTCCGTCTGTATACATGTGACACCACGTGACATATAATAAATTACAAATCCCCCATGTACTATGGGGTCTGTGACAAAGGCCCCCTATACTTTGTTTTGCAACAAAGATCCCACTGTACTATGACTGTGAGACAAAGACCCCCTTCCATTAGCCTTCCGTCCAATTCAATCCTGAGCTAACAATTCCACGAATGAAGAAGTGGAAGCAACAACGGTTGCTTCAATGAAGATTTATCCATAATGAGTAGTATCATAAACCCTGTATAGAGTCCCATACCATTTTCCCCTTCGAATCTTCTTGATTCCGTAGAGACTCCGTGGCTAGTGATCAGTCCAGAACCCCTCGACTGGCCAAAAAGGAATGACATTATCCCAACGAGTATAGAGCGAAAGGCGAACCGCATTGATCTTCCCCTGTCCCTTCGGATGATTAAGAAGAATAGGCAATGGCAAGAAGGCTTTAGAGAAGCATGAATAAGGCTTTCTCTTCCATGATATTCATCATCCGACAGCTTCACAGTTATGCCTTGTAGATGCGGGAGATCCTTTTCTATGAAGATCTACAAGGGATTCTAGATCGAGTGCAGAATCCGTTGGACATGATTCGTGGACTAACCTTGGACTAGTTCTACAGTAAATCCTCTGAACCATCAATTATTTCATGCCATTGGTTCATTGTAATTTTATTACTGATGGTCATGAAAATGCAGATAGAAAACCTGTAGAACAGGTTTTTAGACCTTCATACATCGCTGTAGCTTCAGCCTCTAGAGGAGATGAATTGTCCAAGGGAGTTGATTTGGCAAATACTAAAGTGCCCAGATGGTCTCTAATGAGGAATCCAGCACCAGATTTGAGAGTTCCAACTGCCTCGTCTACATTTAGTTTGACCATACCGTGAGGTGGTCTACGCCACTGTTGTTGGTGTCCAGAGTGACTATCTTGGTGTCCAGAATGAGTAATGGGAAGAAAGTTGTGGAGCAGCACAAAGTGTGGTATAATAGGGATTAGCTTGTAATAAGACGGTTTCTGGGCTGAAAACCTTGTGATTGAAGTAATGGTCATTTCGACACTTCCAAATGTTCCATAGAACTAAGGACCCAAGATCATATCTTCATTAATTAGATGAAGTTGAATGAGATCTAGTATCAAAAATAATTTCCCAGGAATTGCAAAAGGTGCTCCAATTACTGCCTTCTATTTTTCAAAGTTTAAACCTTTGGGCCATGAGAATTACTTGCTTTTCAGTGATCAGATTCCGTTGTATTAATTTTTATAATTACTATCCGTAAGAGGACTAACTTGGATCTCTCAAATCCTGTAACTTCATTTACAGACTTAGAGATCAGCTAGAACTTGTATCAAGTGTGAAGAATGTACTTCATTCCATCATCCACCCATTCACCTTAAGTTGATCTTTCCACATGTAAATCTATTCTGCAGGTTTTCTGTCTGCATTTTCATGACCATCAGCAACAAAATTGCAACAAACCAATGGCATGAAGTAATTGATGGCCTAAAGGATTTACTGTAGAACCAGTCCAAGGTTAGTCCACAAATCATGACCATCAGTAACAAAACTATAATGACGAATACGAAAATCATAACAAATACTCGCTGAGAAAATAGCTTCTTCCACTTGTGATGGTGGTGGTGACCAGTCCTATTTCAACGACATCTTCGCTTGCCGGTTTATGTTTCAGATTGCAAGAAAATCGCCCTGAGTCAATCAGAGGTAGTGAGCTAGTTACAAAAATCTGTATCTCATGCCGATAGATTTATAGAAGGAACGGAAGTAGGGCTGTTCATAATAAGACCCAAACCGACCAAACCGAATTGGTCGGTTTTTCTTCGGTATCGATCGATTTTAGGTTACAAAAAAATATAAACCAATAGTTCAGTTCGATTTTAATTTTCATACATGAAAACCGATAGTTCAATTCAGTTTCGGTTTTGATCAAGTGTTCTTTGCAATGGCTCTCTTTTTTCTTCTTTCTATAAAAAAGTGAGTTGCAATTTTTGATGTTAAAAACCGATTTGGGTTTGTGGTGAAGCAGCTTGGGAAATTTCATTCTCCTCATCGGAAAGAATTTGTCCCCCTTTTATCAACACACATGTATATTACTATTAGTACAAGTCTATTACAGTCTTGGTTCAACCATGGTTGTGATAAGGGAAATTATCTAAAACCTTCACTTTTTTCTTACAATGTCTAAAACTTCTCGAGTTTTAATTACTTTCAAGGGACTTCCTATCAAAGATATTTGATTAAGGCGAAGGCCTGTTTGGTTCATAACCGGAATCGAAATCTTTTAGAATTGGAATCGGAATGGTCTACTCCCATAGTTTGTTTGATTCAGACAGAAATGAGAATGGGAATTAGAATAAACAGGAATGCAATTTCATTCCCAAGGGAGGGGCACAGAATGACCATTCCCTCAAATGGGAGAATGCCATTCCAGAAAAAATGAGAATATAATTCTGATTCCCCTCAATCAAATAATTGGAATTAGAATAGTCCATTCCAGTTCCCATTCCAAACCCCTATTCCCATAAACCAAATGGGGCCTCAATTTGGGAAGATAGCAAAGACAAGATATTTCTTAACCTTGTAATCCAAATATGTATAACGTAAATCCTTGTAATTATCAGGACTTTTAAACCTTGTATTTGCATTATACATATTTACATTTGCACTTTTTCCAAACATGAAAAAATACAAATACAAATATATAGTCACGTACAGTGCAAATTCATAAAAAATAATATAAAATGCAAGATTTTGCACTTTATATATTTGTATTTGTACTCCTTTCAAACTGAACTTAAATGTTTATATTCAACGTTTCCACAAATAAACAATATTTTCAAAAGAAAAAAAAAACAAGAAAACAACTTTCTAAGGAAGCTAGTTTTAGTATATTCTTCAAAGCTTTTCAATGAAAGCAGTTCAGTCAAAGACTGAAGCCCTCCCAAACGAGTCTTCAGTCTATGTGATTGCCTTATTAAAATTATGAGTAGAACTGCAGAAATTATGAACTCTCTGCGCCCCCAACCAACGGGTTCCCTCTCTCCGAAGGAAGGACCGCAATTTCCACCCGGAATTTGAATTACCAAAACGCAGGTTCTCGAGTCAATAAATGAATGATCAAAGCCCCTTAAGAAAAGCTTGGTGTAATTAGACAAATAAAATCTTCGACCAAAAAAAAATGGTACACAAAAAGAAGTGATTCCAGATCGGAAGCAAAATAAAGAAAGGAAGTGATTTCAGATATATGATAGGAAATAAAATAATACAGATCCTGAGGTTGTGTGGTCTTACCCTTAACTGGAATTTTATTTGGATTTCTTCAATTGAAATTGAGAATATTTCCTGTAGCGATTGTTATAATCCTCGAGTTCTTCGTGGTACACATCCCAGACGCATCGAATGCAGCCGCTGCCGCAGCAGTCCCCCAGCAACGGCTTCTCCGGTGGCGGGAGAAAATTTTCAGCTGCCCACTGGTTGTCTTTGTTAATATCCTCCTCCTTATTCTCAATCAACATATCTTGTTGATTCTTTTTCACCTCATAGACCATCTCGGCTGCCACCTCTCGGTCATGAAGATACCTGAGAAGTCGAGGAGGACAAGAAGCCTTTTGATTTCGATATGGAATGGGATTAACAGCCTTCACCGCTACCCGTCTCAGGCTCATCTCCAATTCTTCATCACCTCGGAGCCTCTCTTCTTCATGTATTCATCGAGAAGCAGAAGCTGCATGAGGCAGATGTTTTGAATTTTGATCATGCCGAACATTCCAAATCCAATTTCCACCCATCGCTAAATACCGAAGCAGAAAGTATGGTTGAAACCGAGAATCAGAGTACTTTACTAAATTCTAGGGTAAATTATAAAGAACCCCTTGGAATGTGAAGTCGGTAGTGAAATTGAATACTCAAAACTCTCATTTGCCATAAATGCCCCCTGAACTTTCACTTTGTGGCAAAAATCTCTTTACGTTAGAGTTTCGTCAATTAACTTTAAAAAAGATTCTCATTCAACTATTTTTTTTTTTTAATTCTCAAATTATTTTTTTCTTATTTATTTGAATTTTGATTAATTTTCTAAATATAACATTGAAGTCCTTCCAATTGTTCTAATAGATTCTTGTAGATTTTTGGTTAGATTCAATATTCAAATAAAATGATAGAGGTTTCTTTCCAATGGATATAAATTTATGGTTTTTGTTTGATTTTTCTTAATTCATTGGAAAGAGGAATGGATAATTTTTATGTTTGTGGGTGAAATGAATAAAAATTTTAATTTTTTTTATGCCAATGAAATGATTCTTGTTATTTTAACCAGTTTTGTTAGGAGAAAATGAAGGTATTTTTGGTCAATAGGGTTTAAGAGAAAAGGGGTAAGGAAAGGAAAATAAGAAAAGTTCTTCAGTATTTTGATAATTTAATACATTTCATTATCTCACTTAATAGTTAGGGGGTATTTGTTACAAAGTGAAAGTTCAGGGATATATCTGGTAAAGTGAAAATTCAAAGGTATTTGTCGTAAAGTGAAAATTCAGGAAGCCTTTATCATAAATTAAAGTTCAAGGGGATATTTGTCATTAACCCCATGGTAGAGGGGGTCTTTTTAATTTACACAATAAGAATAAAAAAGAATAAGAAAAAAAAAATACAATGAATGGTTCGTCTACAAATCAAAGGGCATTGATGCTTATCTTGAGGATGAACGGTCTAGCCTGTAATGATTGAATAGGGTCATCGGCAATGGTAATCTATATATATAATATAAAGAGGAAAGAAGGGAGGTGAGGGTCCTGTAATTCCTCCTTCTCTCCTTTTTTTACACATGTGCATATTTATTTTTATATTAAATCATTAAAAATCTCATGGGTCTTTATTGTCTCTAATAAAATTCATGCATATTTATTACTCTTTAATAAATCTTTCTCTCGCCTTAATAGTCAATGTTTGTAACATCTTCACTTCCTATTAAATTCTTATTTTCTCTCTAATAAAGTAGGGTGTTAACTAGATGAGTTGGATTAGATTAAGGATCAACCTACGTTTGAACCTTGCTTATCAAAAAAAAAAAAAAAAAAAAAAAAAGAAAGAAAGAAAGAAAGAAAAACCTAAATTTGAACCTTAGCTTGAACCCAAATTAATGTCTAAAAACCAATCTAAACAAATCATTGTTCCTTTCTTTGAGTTATTAGGTTTTTCCCCCTATTTTGCTCCTTTCCTTGGTTTAGGTTTTTTTCTTTGTTTTTATTAATTTAATTTAATGTAGATTTGTTTAGTGGATTGTTTTGATTTAATAATAAAATGTACTAAGAACTAAATGCAAGCTTTTGGTTATGTTCATCAGTTCAATTTTGAAATTGTTTTTTTTTTTAACTCGGTTATTAATCTCATGCTAAGCATATTTTTTGGCTTTATAGGACTATACAATGGGAGGAAACCCATTACTCCAATCCAATTCTCTCCTACAACTAATTAGATAAGGTATCAATTGAGCCACTATCACTTRGTTTATGTGCTTTTCATAATATATAAACTATCTAAAAATGAAAAATTGAAAAGAACCTTTTTCTACTATTCTATACATAAAAAAAGTATAAAGACAATATCCCGTGTATTGCACGGGTCACCGCTAGTTCTTCCAAAGGAAGGTCCATGTCTGTACTGTTAGGCGGCATCACTTGCACAACTATAACAGTCAAGGTTCTACGCCCGATACGCTAGTAGGGGTGTACCAAGCAGTATCGGTACTGTTTTTTTTTATTTTTTTTTTCAAATCCAGTTCAAGGGGGCCGATTTAAGATTACTCCACCCCCTGAACCGGTTAAAACCCTGACACATCTTCTGTAGGGGCATATCGGTGTGCTCTCGATATGATACGTATCAGTCGATACATAATGATTTTTTGAACCTTGATAATAGTAGACATTAAAATAAGGCTAAAAGACTTATCTCACCTCTCTTTTTTTGCAAGGACTGAAACCTCCCCCTCGAAATAGAACACTGTTATATCTCATGGAATCAATAGAAGGGCTATTTTTCCCTTAATTGATCAATTACTCCGTTTCGTATTTTGTTCTACATCTACTTTGGCTATCTTAGAGTAATTATGGATGCAAATGGAGCGTGTTGGTTCGGGTTTATGGTCAACTTTTGTCCGACCTAAAATTTGGGGTTAAGCCCCGAACCCGAGGTCAAGCCCCGGTCGTCCCAACCTGAGCCTAGACACATTGTAATTTGATGCACTCAAGTAGGGTCAGGCCTAGGCTGGGCTTGGGTTGATCAATGAGCCCCCTCTAAAATTATATATGTATAAGGGCTAGGCCCGAGCCCGGCTGAAAAATAAAAAGCCTGACTCTTTAGGCCCGAGCCTAGCCCGAGGATAAAAAATCCAAGCCCGGCCCTAGGCCCACCCAAGCTGCACCCCTCCTAATCGAAATATCACCTCTTTGGGCCAGCCTGATACAATGAGCAACTTAACCTTGTGGACTCCGGGCCGGGATTGGGCAGCCGTAAAAGACCGTATTTTGCTTGGGCTTTTCTTAAAGGGGGTAAAGGTTGGTTCTAAGGTCCCAAGCATGGTAATGGGCTTGGGCTGGACTAGGTATAAGAATATCCTTTGCCCATATGTAGACTTCAACCCATCCCAACCAGCCAATTCCTAACAAGTAGCAAAGGCCAACCAGTGCAGCCAATTGCCACTAATATCAGCTCTACACTTCAACCAACTGCGCCATAAATGTGGCAGAATTTGCATCGACGGTATAAGGTCAAAGGCAACAAGGCTTTATAAGTATTTGACAAAAGATCCCACTCAGCCACTCACACTACTGTAACATCACATCCTTCCCAAAATCCACTTTACAAGCTTCAAAATTATCAGTGATCATATCGACTATCGAGAGCTAGATCTAACTATTGAACATCTAACTGGCCCTTTAATGGCTTGCCAATATCTAACTATTCAACCTTTGTCCTAAGTCATTCAAGTAGTATCCCAATATATAACTATTGATCTGAACCACTCAATTGGTGTAGCACTCCAAGCTTTGTTCCAACTCATCATGATCCATCTAGACCACCCAAATGTAATCCAAAATCTAATCTAGCAGTCCAAATGGTATATTGTTCAAAGCCGAGCTCAAACTCAACCAGTTCATTCTGGACTTTGGACAGAAGAAAAGAAAAGAAAAAAAGAAACAAAACACCTTAAAAACTAAAGAAGTCTCATTCAAGCTGAAGTTAGAAGAACCATCTCACTAGTATGCATCTGGAATTCAACAAAGTGATATTTTGATTATCTGGGCAATACTTGATATTAATTAAGCATGTTCGTGCCATTTATTGTTACTAGGGTCTTGATATATTGTGATGTGATGATCATCCCTTCAACCCCAGAAAGAGGAGAATTATCCCAAAATAATCATACTTGTAAAGCAATCTGATGAAGTTCAGCTTGAAATCACTCCATGGAGGGTACCTTGACTCCAGGTCAAATATAAAGTTTCTTCTGAGAACTGCTTTTTCATGGGTAAATGCCTCGAAAGAGAATTTCCCATGATACTTTCCAAGGCCGCTCTGACCGATGCCACCAAATGGTAAGTCGTCTGACATGAACTACATACACATAAAAAGAAAATTGGTTAGTTTACTAACAAGTGCAGCAGATCTTAACTCCACAAATATATTGCTAAAACGCTTTAGTGCTGTAAATCTTAGGCAATTGTATGGCTCTAAATGCTGCACCCCAAAATCACTGTATAATTGTACAGTCTATATATGTGTTTTCGCAGTACTAATACCACAGAACATGTTTCTGTACCATGGAATTTGCTAGAAGTCAAGAAACAAGAGTAGGAGAGGTTTTTATGCTGCATTACTTGAACTGCAATGTCATTGAATGTAACGCTTCCTGAAGATGTTCGTGATAACACCAGCCTCTTCAGTGTTTCATCCTTGGTGAAGGCATAGAGGACAAGAGGCTTTGGTCTTGAACTTACGAACTCAATGCTCTCTTCGATATTCTTCAACTGTACAGGGACGATCATGATGTGAAAAATATTTGAATCAATAGCACACTAATTTGAAGCATTATTCAAAAAATCTTGGTGAAAGATTTCTCACAGTGATTATTGGAAGAAATGGGCCAAAGATTTCTTCAGTCATGATCTCAGCTTCAAGTGGAGGATCCAACAGAATCGTGGGCTCAATGAACCTACGAGATGCATAAGAAAATTATGATTTCATAATCGAAGAAGAAAGAGATGATTGTACATTGATTATGTATTAGAACTATTAATTAGGTTCTGCACCAAACCGGGCTTCTAGATACTGAGACAGTCATCCTCTTCTATGAACTGAAAAGAGTATGGTGACTATGAAGAGAAGGGTCATAAAAATTACATTCTCTCTTTATCTACTTGACCACCATGAACAATTGAATCTGAAACAGCTGGGTCTTTTATAAGATTATGCAATCTCTCAAAATGGTGCCTGTTGACAATCCTGGTAAGGTCTTTGAAATCCTTTGCTTTTCTTCCATAGAATTGATCAATAGACTTTTTCAATAAATCAATCTGAAAATAACAAGAAATCAAGGAAAAGAATGATTAAATTCTGAAGTTTCTGTAACTACTGAATCTTAAATCAAGTCCCAAAAAAAAGAACTAACATTATTTGTATATTACCAGAGTTGGTGCAAACTTCTCTTCCACAAGAATATAATCAACTCCTACACATGATTGGCCATTGCACAGGCCCCATTTCCCCCATGCTATTCTTTTTATGGCAACCTTGAGGTTAAAACATAATTAAATAAGAGAAAAGGGATAACAGGATAAAGAAGGTTGCTTTGATCATACAACTCTTTATCTCTAATTCATTTGAATGTAGGGGATCTAAACTCAACAAGAGTAGAAAATGTCAAACTTGGACCAGACAGAGAACTGGAAAACTGACAACACTAATTCAACTCTCCACACCTGTCCAAAAGTCTGACAACACTGCTTTGTATAATAAGGTTAAGAATGATGGTTATATTAATCAATTTCATCCTTTGTTTGTTTAACAATTTCTACTCAGAGGTGTCTTCCATACCAGATATGGATTTCCCATAAACAATAAAAGGAGTTACAGTACAGAAACTACCTCTAGTTCTGAGGAGCTCAATCGGGTATCTAAGATGACAGGGCATTTTCCACCCAATTCCAGAGTAACAGGTGTTAAATGCTTTGCAGCTGCAGACATAATGATGCGTCCAACTCGTGGACTTCCTGAGGATGTATAGATACAAGAGAAAGAAAATATTAATTGAAAGCAAATACCAGACCAGATAATACTTGGCATTTACTGATTTACAATGTTAAGAAGCAAAGTTTAGCCCACTGAAAGATATACTTCGAAAGGGGTATTTCAGCAACCCAAATTCAAAAAGAGAAACAAAGAAGCTGACCTATGATTTGAGAACAATGAACTCAGTCAGTACTGTTACGAGTGGCGTATTCATGCACAACACCAAAAACGTGTTGGACTCTCTGCCTTTCTATAAGATAGCTGTTTCTTCCCTCTCCTACTATAACTATAACTTAGGTTTTTGAGGGTCATAGTAGAACAAGACACCTGTTGTATTTAATCAAAGCCATTCGGCTTAAATTAAATATAAAAATCTCTTCAATGAAATTTCACATGGTATCATGGAAAGTTCACAAACCTCAGTTACAGGGGATTCCTCCAATCCTTACTACCTACATCACTCGGAGAACCCAGGGGTGGTATTGGTTACTGCGCTCCTCACCGGCGACAATTATGTAAGCTGGAAGAGAGCCATGAGGATGCCCTTATCTGCCAAAAATAAGTTAGGATTTTGTAGATGGGACTATAAAGCAACCGTCCTCTACAGATCCAGTCTTTCCTGCCTGCAAACGAGTTGACAATATGGTGTTATCTTGGGTTGCTAAATTCCCTGCACTGTGATTTGGCACCAAGCGTTTTATACGCCACTTCAGCAGCCGAAGTTTGTCGGAAAGATCTCGAGGATCGTTTCTCACCTTCCAAATGGACCTCGGATTTATCAGCTGCGGAGGACAATTGCAATGCTTCACCAACGGACTGATTGTGTTACCACGTACTACAGCAAACTGGAGTCTCTCTGGGATGAATTGTCAATGCTCATCACACCGGCCTCGTGTACCTGTGGTGCCTTCAAAACCACAGCCTACCAAGAGCAGTTGATTACTCACTTTTTACCACAGTGCATGGTTCCTCATTTACTACCGTTCTCGTATATGTGGATGACACTGTAATTGCAGGCAGCGATGATCAGGCCATTCAATCGTTGAAGAAGTTCTTTTCGCAACCAATTTCAATTAGGCCTGTTCACTTTTCCCTAATTTATTTATCTGATTAAATATGCAGTTATCTGTAAACACTTATTCGGGCAAGTGCATTTATTCATGTTATTTTATTTTTCATGTAAATAATGTGACCATTTCAGTCATAAAAATCTATTATTAAAAGAGGCATTTTTATCCCATTCAAGTGTTGCAACTTTCCCTGATCCACTTAATAGATGGGTAAGTGGTACCCACAAAATTAAACTTTTCCTGATCCAAGAACATGAAATTCTTAATCACTTGGAACCAAAATCTTATTGACCAACCTTTCCCTTTAAATCCGAAAAAAAAACCCTTAAAAAGATCTTGATCGTTTAAAATATCTTAATGGGCATCGAGGTCTCCCGCTCCGGCGTTGATATATTTCTATGACTGCGTAAATATTCTCTTGATATACTTACTGACATGGATGCTCTCGATTCAAAAGTCAAAACCAAGCTCTCCCCCGATGGAACAAAATCTGAGGCTCTCTCCTGATGATGGCAAACCTTTGACTGACCCATCTCCATATTGGCGTCTCATTGGCCGCCTCCTTTACCTCACTATTACTCGGTCGGACCTTGTCTACTCTGTTAACACCCTTAGTCAGTTTCTCTCGTCCTTGCACCTCTCATTGGAATGCTGCAGTCCGAGTGGTACGGTACCTTAAATCATCACCAAGTATCGACATTCTTCTTCCCGCCAACTCAGATCTACAACTACGGGCTTACACTGATTCAGATTGGGCTTCTTGCCCCCACCACTCGATGATCGATATCAGGCTATTGCATTTACCTCAATTTCAGCCCAGTTTCATGGAAAGCTAAGAAACAGGCAAGGACTTTCATGGGGTTGGGGTCTGCTTTAATTAGGTTTCGTTTAAGCCTGACTGTGTCATGTTTGGGTTGAAGAGGGTGTTTGGTACTGTGAGAATGTGAGTGCTTTTTTTCATGAAACTTTATACTTTTAAAATCTTTAAAATGATATTGGATTAATTATATGTGTATATACACTATTATATATTCAAGCCAGTTAGACACCACATAGATTAAAAAAAGGTAAAAAATGGTGGTATCATTACAAAAAGTACCAAAATAATCTTTCTTGCAAATGTTAGCTTTCAATTAAATCAAGGTGTTTACTATGATTTGCTCCATATATTTGAGTCGGGTCAAATTGAACTTTGACCTGTTGGGACTTTACTCTTAGGCTCTCTTGGCTTTTTGGGAAGTTATTTATCCGGGTAAATGCATTTATCATTACCCAGGTAAGTGTATAAACCCATGTTCTTTTAATTCCTATGTAAATAAGAAAATGACCATTTTAGTCATAAAAAAATCATTATTAAAAGGAACAATTATGTCCCAACTCCCATCTAAGTGTTGACAACTTTCCAAGTGAGAAAATTATTTATCCATCTGAGAATTCTGTGAACCTCACATAAATCTGGAGAAAAAGAACATGGATATCTTGGTCAATAAAAAACAAAATCTCATTGACCAACTTTTCCCCCTCTCAAAATCCCAAAAAAAAAAAAAAAAGAACTGGGCTAAGAGGAGATTCTCTACTAAAAATTGAGGGTGCTTAAATTAATAGCTACTATGAAATGTAAAAGATGAAGTAGTAATTGATACCGGTGAAGAATATCTTGTCCCATTTCTCTTCTAAGAGTTTTGCCCCAGTTTCAGGTCCACCTTCAATAACTTTTATCGCTTTATTGTCCAGGTAGCGTGGAATGACACGGGCAAGAAAGGAAGAGCACGCAGGAGCCATCTCTGAAGGTTTAATAAGTGCTGCATTCCCTGCAGATATGGCTCCAATCAATGGTTCCAATGCCAGTGCTGCAATCAGAAATCTCATTAGCTGGGAAGAGTATTTTGAAGAGATCATAAAATTGTAGCAGGAGTACTCAAACAACCATGGAAGTGCTGCGCATGGTTGGTTGCAGGAGACTATGTTTTTTGCTTCATGCCAAAACATGGACATCTCCATCAATCTTCAACTGATTATTTTGGTTATAGCCTACCATGAGATAGATCATGGACCTTGTATAAGGTGCCGTTAGAAAAGTTTTTTTTTTTTAGAAAGATCTTTTTGCAGAACAAATGATCAAAAGATATATTGGGTTTTTGGGCCTTGTCTTTGAAGATAAAGATCGTTTGGCAAGTGGCTTGGTCTACGGGATTTTAAAAATGCATTTAGAGATTATTTATTATATAGATAAAAAAGCTTCATTTGAAGTTAACTGAAATTCAGTGTTTTCAATTTTTTTGGGTCCCTTTGTGCATGTGTCTTCTAGTCTTATTAGCTTTTGATTACCAAATGAAAAAAGACCAATTTTCAGTCTTTTAAATTTGTCAAAACATAGGAGATCACATAAAAAGACTTGTCAAATGTCACCTAAATTAATATTTTATTAACATCATATATCTAACTGAATTGTAATAAAAACAAAAGGAAATATTATCAAATAAAAAACCAAAAGGAAAAACTCACATATAGGGAAGTTCCAACAAGAGAATATGAGAACAACGCCTAAAGGTTCAGGCAGCAATTCAGCAGTTGCAGGGAAGAAAGCCAAGGGTAGTGGGCTCTGCCAATTTACACAAATTCCCATTAGGAAATTAGCAGTGGCTTCAACAGTAATATAGGTCACATTAGTTTAATTGAGAGTTTTAAGTGTGATTTTGGAAAGCATGGTTTTTGAATCACCATTGACTTGGACGGTCGGACCGTTTGGCATGGGAGCCATCCAGGCAACCAGTTTCATTTTATCCTAAAACCAATTTCTGATAAAAAATAATTGAAAAAGTTAACAACTAATTAACTCGGGCGATCAAACTATCAACCCATTCAACGGTTTTTGGCCATTTTTTATTTTTAATTTTTTGTCAAAATGGGCCATCCATTCAAACCAGAACAGGCCAAAATAGTTCCATTTCCGGATCGTTTTTTAAAACCATGTTAGAAAAAGATGATTATGTAGAAGAGTAAACTACTCAAACTTCCTTTATGTTTTATATTAAATGCATTTAATCTCTCGATACCTTGACCTCTGCAAATTTCTCCATGTTAATAAACCCAATGCAAAATTGATGATGTCAGGCTTTAAAATTATTACACCTATTAATGTAACAACTCATAAAATTACTAAATTTGCTTTTAGCTTGTTGTGGGATCAGCCGATCAGGTATTGATCATCTTGTCCGGATTTTTTGTGTGTTATTATTGCACAGATGCAAATTCCAAGATTAGTTAAACGAAAAGTAATGACAGGCCTAATGCAGATTTCTGATTCTTACTGTAAAGTTATAAAGGTCCAAAAACCATACTTTATGTACTTATATCCACCGCCTTGAATTGACGTCAATTTCGAGCTGGCATCTACTCCAAATGTATTTTGAGCTTACAAATTCTGACCCTGGGTTATCAGTTATTCTCCCTTAATTAAATGCAATTGCCCTTGGGGGCTTTCAAAAAAAAGTAAAAGAAAAAAAAAAACAAGTTGTATTCATCAAAAACTCCAATAGAGGTTGATCGGTCAAAGCCCTTCTAGTATCATACCCTTCCCACATACAAAAAAATAACTGGATATTTGGTGAATAATAGACTGAATTATTATTTAGGGGGCGTTCTTTTTTCAGATTTTAAGAGGGGGAAAGTTGGTCAATGGAATTTTGGTTCCCATTGACCAAAAATCCTATGTTTTTTTTTTTCAGATTTATTTGGGGACTAGAGAAAGTTTATTTTCTTCGGTATCAGTTACCCAGGTAGAGAATAGTTCCTAAAGTAAAATGATTGTATTCTCATGGGATGTTCAACAACATGGTTGTTTTTTGTGTTTTATGCCACATCAGAAAAATTGTACTGTTTTTGCTGAACCCAGATTTCTTATTAACTTTTTCTATCCACACTCTACTCACCGTGAATTGCAGCCACACAGATCACAATTCATTACGTGTGGCTGCAATTTAAGGCGGGTAGAGAGTAGTGGGTTGGAAATCCAATGTGATTTTTTTCTCATGTAAGAATTGATTTGTTATCAAAAACAAAACCAACCATATCATGGTTTTCAAAACCGAGATGGATCGGAAAAACTGGTAATCGTTCAGGCCCCCAGTCCTGGTTATACTGTAAAACACTAATTCACCAAAACCGTTGAAAAAGTCAGAGAACTGCTGACCCAGGCGGTTGAACTGTTAATTTGTTCGACCCGGGCAACGGTTCACAGGTTTATAATTTTGAAGTTTGCTGATTTAAAAAAACAATAAAAACAAAAAAAGACTCCCGTGTCCCCGACCCCAATTCATTTTCATTCTAACTTTAATCCTTCCCAACTCTCAGCCCTCGTACCCCGACGACCTACGGTGACCGGCAACAGCGGTGAGGCTTCATCTACAGCAGTTTTGCAGCGGCTGTAGGTGACTAGGTGGTTTCTGCTTTTTACATTGCAGTGGCGTCCAGAATTTGCAGCGGCAATCACCGGCAACCAAAGTAAAATCCACCGGCGGCGATTTTTGTGAGCCCAACACCGTTTTCATCATACCATTTGATTGTTTTCATGTTTTTGCTTATGGAATCTGGCTTTTTTTATGATTTATGTTTTTCCTTTTGAATTCCTATTGATATTTTTGTGATCCCAACATGTTTTTTCTTTTGAATTCGTATGCATTCATCTAAAATTTTTGGGATACCATACTATTTTACAGAGATTCTCTATTCTAGTACTCTTTGCTTAATTAATTATTTTTTTGCTTAATTAGTTATAGAGAGTCAGATTCACATTTGCTTAATTAATCTTGCTTCATTAATTTTTTTTTTTCAATTCCTTGCTTATTTGGTATGTAAAAGAATGATGATAATGATAATATTTATGAATGATAAAATCCCTTTTATTTTCAATTAATTAATCAAATGATACTTATTTGCTTAAATTAATTGCTTCTTGATTCATGTACAGATTTGTTGAAGTAAGATTACATTGCTTATTTGCTATGTCAAAGAATGATGATGTCAAAGAAATGAAGAATGATAAAATCCCTTTTTTTATTTTTGATTAGTTAATCAAATGATGTTTATTTGCTTAAATTAATTACTTCTTGATTATTACTTTTTTGTATATTATGAACATCCTAATTTATGTTTTTTTCTGTATTTTTTTGAAAATTTTGTGTTTTTCCTGTATTTTTTTTGTATTTTCTATGTGTTCTGTACTTTATTTAATTTATGCTATTTATTATTATTTTAAACATTTTTTTTATTTTTAATTGATTTATGACATCACGGGTCAAACATTCAACCCAGGCGGTTGAACCACCGAACTGAAAAACAAACCCCTGACCGATTCTATTTCCGGATCGGTTTTAAAAACCTTGAATCATATTGTCCAACACCCTCTGAAAGAATAGATGTGGATAATTTGACAATTTATATTTAATGAAATGTAAATAAAAGAAAAAGGGATGTGGAATTGTGAATATGAATAACCAATGAAAAATCTTACCTTTTTGGGTGAAGCCCATTTCTCCAAGCAATTCAGGTTGAGGGTCAGTGATTTTAATATGACTCCGACCTATAAACAAAAACCAGGTCAACGACAACTTTTTATTTTTATTTTTTACTTTGGATTGGTACCCAAAGATGAGATGCAAATCAATTTTGATGAGGTTCAGTTTCAAAGCAGTACAAATTCAAATATATACAATATAAATACATACAAAATAATACAAAATATAAGATTTTGCACTCTAATATTTGCATTTGCGAAGACTTTGGTTATCTTATTTTTCCCTTTTATGATCGATCAATTCTCGTGCTTTGTGACTGTATGGCTTGTGTCTATGTAAACCGCGCTAGCCGACACCATTTGCGTATGGAACAATGGAATGTTGACTCTCTTCACAAGTGTTTAATGCTTATTGCCTAATTTTTTTCTTTATTTTCGGTATGAATCAATGCCTGAATCCTCTTTTCATAAACAGTACAACACCACATCATTAAGCAATATTTACATATAACTCTTTTTGACAGTATAACAGGACGGGATAAATCCCACATAGGGTCCATGCTTATTGCCTAATCCGGTGTATACGACTTTGTTTCTAGGACTCTCATCATTCATGGCATGGGTTAATTACTGAACCAAAATTCGAATTTATTAAGTATGAACCGGGGTCCATGCTTTTGGTGCATACAGTTTACGGCGTGGAAGAAAAAAGTTGTATCACACTTCACACAGGGGTAGGGGTGACCATTCTTGGCTCGGCCCGGCCCACAAATTTTTGGGCCTATGCCTAGGTTTTTGTGTTAAGCCCGGAAAATTCTGGGCCGGATTTGGGCCTAACACTTCAAGCCCGGCCTAGACTGGTCAACCTGTAATATATAATATAATATATATTATATATAATAATATTATAGTATATTTTATATTTATATGTTATATATATATATACAAATACATTTTATTTTATATTAAATGTTTATTATCTAATATATAATATAAAAATTAAGTTTGAACGTATAAATATAAAGAATAAATAAATATTAATAAATTGACACATATCCACACATGTATGAATACTTGAGATGCAAATTGTTCACTTAAACAAGGCCTTATATAGATGAGGGCAAGGTCTTCATTTTCATTGCCTAAGCAATGTGAGACTTAGAAAAACATTCAATGGTAATATTTACTATTTAATGTTGTTCCAAGTCGCATATTGCTCAAGAATGAGAATGAAGGCAAGTATAAGTAAACCACGCCAAACCAACTATAGGAATTAAATGAGACCCATGCTTTTTTTTTTTTATATGTAGACCCAAAATTTAGCCATTCCCAATTTAACTTGGGCTTGTGTCACATTTTTTGTATGTATCACATGTTATTTAATTAAAAAAATAAATAATCAAATTTTTATTATTAGACATCATAGGCCTAACTCATTTCTCATTAGGCCCAAGGGGTGTGCTGGGCCGGGCCTGGGCTTAATTAAGTTAAAGCCTTTATCATTGATGCTAAACCCGCCCCGGCCTGGCCATGATTACCCCTTCCCCAGGGGATTACATTCTCTTAGGAGAGATTGGGACCTTCTAAACATCCGTAGACTGGACATAGCCCACCTTGTATTTTCATATGTTCCACCCGCCCGTTAGATTGGGTTGGGGCTGGGCCCATCTAATGGATCAGAGGGTAGATAATACAAATGAAAGAAAATGAATAAATTCTCAAATTGTTTGGGTGGGGGTTCTGGGTAGCGCTTTAAAAGGGAAAGGAAACACGGTGCCTGATAGCTGAAGCACCTGCCTTACAAGGGAGTATTTGGTGGGGAATTTGGGTTATTAGACTTCTGAGTGGAATTAAGTATCAGAGATCAGAATGCCCCAGCGATGTAAGCAGCAGCCAGTTGATCAGTTGGCTGATAAAGCTTTGGTTGGTTAGTTAGGACTTGGAGGACTTGGGGAAGCAGCAACTAGCCAGTTGGATGTAAGTATTCATCATGAGTTGCAGCAAATTAAGAAATCTGAATCAAGATAAAACTCTCAGTTTCTTTAAGTTTAAAAAAAAAAAAATTGACTTACTTCGTCACGAAAAGCTTCGACAGGGTGCTTGCCAAGATCTTCATGGACGACCTGAAAGATTTGTTCTTCATTGTCGCGTACGAGATTGAGGAGCGCCTGCAGCTGAGCTTTCCTCCAAGCTAAGCTTCTTGTCGTCCCGCTTTGGAATGTCCGCCTGAGTTCCCCCAATCTCTCTCCCAGCCCAAACTCTGCTACCGTCATGTTTATGGTCTCTCGTTTCTGTGTTTTAGCCTTGCTTGCTTGCTCTCTAGTATCTATTCGTGATGTCTTCGCCGCCTCTCCTCTTTTATGGATTTCACGAGCTCTTGAGCTTCGCTTGTTTAGGCCCCTAGATTTTGCAAAGTTAAATTAAACCCAATCTCTTCAATATTAATTACTTTCATCCCACCGCTATCACAATCGCGGTTTTGCTTCAATAAAGACAATGACACTTTTTGCTCCACACTATTGAATTGAATTGTATGGAATAATGGGCATATTTAAGCCATGTACCCAATTGGCTTCTAAAAAATCTGACACACCTGTTGGTTAAAATTAGGGTATAAATAAAATATTAAAATTTTATTTCTTAAGAGAAAATTCCCCATTAGTAAGTGGTATTTGAAAAGACATAAATGACTTTTGAGTGTCATTTAACTTTATTTATAAACAATCCAAATATTGATAAAAAATGAACAGTTCCAAATATTTACTTCTTCTATTCAAAAAAGTTGGGATCATATCAAATAAAATTAGATGACACTCAAAAGGTATTTGTGTCTTTTTAAATGCCACTTAACAGCTAGTTAATGATAGGTACTAAATTGGTACATTTTAAAACTTCCAATATTGTATTATCGCATTTTAAAGTTCGGGGACCAAAGTGACACTAAGGGCCTGTTCGTTTGCTCTGAAGTTTGACATATGAAAGTGCAATAATTATATTAAGAGGTATATTGGTATTGGTGAACTTTTCTTTCCTCTAAACTTTGAATACAAAGAATGTTGTTCTGAACTCTGAAATTTGTCAAATGTCCACTTTAATCCTATATCTAAGAACTTTTTGTTTTTTATGTAATTCAATGAAAAATAATATTAAAAAATAGGGTAATGATTAATAATTATTGCTAATTAATAATTAATATATAAGTTAATAATTAATTAACAAATAATAATTATTAATTATTAAATATTAATAATTTTTTGTAATTCATTTAATAATTAATTATTATTATTAAATAATTATCACTACTAATTTTTAATAATTAATAATTAATAATGATTATTATTATTAATCAGTAATAATTAGTATTAATAATTCATTGCCACTAATTGATAATTAATTATTATTATTATTTCATTATTATTACTAATTATTAACAATTAATGAATTAGTAATAATTAATTATTAATTAGTAATAATTAATTATTAATTAGTAATAATTAGTGATAATAGTAATTATTATTAATTAATAGTAATTAAATACACTAATAATTATTAATTAATATTATTAATAATTACTACTATTACTAATTATTAGTATTTTTAATTACTATTAATTAATAATAAGAATTAATATCAATTATTATTATCACTAATTAATAATTAAAAATTACTAATTCATTAATAATTAATCCTATTAATTCATTATTATTACTATTATTCGTAATTAACAATTATTATTATTGCTAACTACTACTAATTAGTAATTAATAATTAATTATTATTAATTCATATTCAATTTGTTATGAATTATTAAATCATTGTTAAGTAAATATTTGTATCATTGTTATTACTTAATTAATTAATTATTTTAATTATACTTATTAAATTATTATTTTTATTTATTAATTTCAATTATTTTTAATTTATGCATTACTAATTATTAATATTATTAAAAACTATATAATACTATATAATATTATTGATTATTAATTGTTAATAATATTAAGTACTAATTAGTCATTACTGAATTGATATTAATATTGTTATTATGTGTTATTAATAATATTATTCTTAAGTAGTTATCATTAATTACATATTATGATTATTATGATTATTATTATTATTATTATTATTATTATTATTATTATTATTATTATTATTATTATTATTATTATCATCATCATCACCATCATCATCATCATCATCATCATCATCATCATCATTGATTACTAATATTATCAATTCTTAATAATTAATATTATTTATAGTATTAATAATTAAGATCAATGATTAGTATTATTCATATTACTTTTAACGAATGTTAATATTATGATTAATTAACTACTAGGTATTACTTAATAATTCATTACTCATTAATGATTAATACTAATTAATCAATGTTAAGTATTAATTATTAATTAATTGTTAATTGATTAATAGTATTATTGTTGTTAATTAATTCATTACTTAATTATTTTTATTAATAAATTATTCTAACTATAATTAAATACTTACAAATTAACAATTAATGAATAATTGATTATTATTAATTTATATTTAAAACAATTAATATTAAGTAATATTTTTAGTAATTGTTTTTCACTATTAATAATTATGATTTACTAATTATTAATAACTGTATAATAGTATTATTAATTATTAATAATATTAATTAACAACAATGATTAAATGAAAAATCATTAATGAATTAATCCTAATATTACTTTTGGGAATTATTTTGAATTGATTATTCAATAATTAATTAACATTATTATTTTTAATTATTTATTATTGAATATAGATTACTAATATTTATATTAATTAATTTTAATATTATTATGAATTAATTATTAGTATTATTGTTTTTATTTAAGTAATGTATTATTATTTTTTATTACTTGATTCTAATATGATTAATTTTTAAATATAACGTTATTATTAATGATTATTAATTATTAATTATAGGTCCAACGTTCATTCACTTTTAAAGTTAGAAGGGCAAAATCGTGAAATGGTCAGCGAATAACTGTATACTGTATTTAATGCCCTGTAACTTTCAACTATAAGTGTTATCGAACGGGCCTTTAATCGCTGAACGCGTACGGTGAGTGATAAGAGGTAAGCGTTCAGCGTTATCGATGAGGGCCTAAGCCCAATGTACAAGATACTAATCAAGTTTTTTTTTTTTATTTAAATATAATTCTATTTTATGAATATATTTTTATAGGAGGCAAGTTAAATCAAATTCACATTTAAGCCCCACAGGGAGGCACCCTACAATGTTGAACATCTCCCAATGATAAATATGAGAGATCAAAAGATATTCTCAATATAAAGTCGGAATGTACTGTGGGGCATTATGGGGCAGAGATGTGAACTCAGTTAAATCAGACCCACATGATCATATACATCCAGGTCCAAAGTCCAAACACGCTAGCTAATAGCCCTTCACAAAATTAAACGAGTCGAAAGGCAGAGAGATATTAATTTGCAACAGATTTCATTAGATTTGAATAACTTCATTCGTTCTATTATTATATAATATGCGGTGTTCAAAATATCCACTGAATACTTTGGACCTTCATCAAAATAAATACAATATTTTATGCTACTTTCATTCTGGTTATATAGAGAAAAAAAATTTAATCGAAATAGAATGATAAATTAATCTGCTATACATAATACATGTAGTAATATAATTATTCATTTTAATGCCGTAACACCTAATGTGTATTGAATATTGTTGGAAGACTTAAATGCTTCCTTTACCAATTTCTATCAGAAACGGTTGGAGAAGTAAATGCTCACCAATAATGCTGACGATGAAGTCACATCATATTGTTAGATTTATGGAAATTTTTCTATCCCCATTAAAGAAAATCTGGTGCTTGAAAGTTTAATGTTTCTGTATTATCACAATACATTTATGAGTAGGCATGTGCTTCATCTACTGGCATTATGTTCATTTATTTATTTGTTTATCATAAAAATCATGTTTTAAAAAGCTGATTCGGAACCGGTACCATTCTGACTATCAGTTTTTGGGTAGAGTTTAATCCTTCGGTTTGAATGAATGGTCTGTTTTAATTAAAAAAAATTAAAATTTTAAAAAATAATAATTAATTAAAATAAAAGGTCAAAATCATTGAATTGGTTGAACGGACCGATGGTTTAATCACCTAGGTCAATGGGTGATTGATCAAGTCAACTGATGGGGCTTATCGAGTTCGCCCGAACCGGTCAGAGGAGATAACACTAGCTGTTACGTAGCGTGATCCCACGAGGCCCGAAGTCTGATGGCAAGACCTTCGGGGTTGCCACGTAGTGGTCTGTTAATATTACCCGAGCTACCGCTCTTTAGATCCGGCCTGGGGCGAACGCCGAAGTGCCTTGGGATCGAAGTGTGATCTGACCTTACATCGAGGTGAACTCATCCCGAGGTGGTTTGATTATCCGAGCTTGATCTGCTGCGAATTTGGCATGTCAGGGTGAGCTGTCATCTTACTAGTTAGGCCGCGTCCACGTGTCCCCCTGTTACTAGGTCGGGCCAAATCGCCCTTCATCAACTGCCCCCACTCCCCGAGCCGGGGGTCCCGACCCAGTGCGGGGAGTTCATGACGAGTCCAGGTGTATTTGGCACAAGGTTTAGGCGATCTGCCGAGCGGATCAGCCGGTCGGACTTGTTCGAACCTCCGATTTAACTAGCCGTAGCCTAGATCGCATTTGGTGTACGTGCGGACGTCACGTTGTTTATGGACTCTGTGAACGTCAAAAACGCGCTCAACCGATTTCGTCCTCGAGCGTCATGCAACCGGTTTTCATGAAAGTCGTTGGATCGAGCAGATCTCAGCCGTTAATCGCCTTGCGGTGAACTATAAATAGGGGGTCGAGGGACCTCTCTTTTTTGCCATAAATTTTGTGATTGAGCTCTCCCGATGTCGCGTCAGAGTCTTTTAGCTCGCTCTCCCTTTGTATTTCGAGGTCGTCCTTCTTTTGGTGAGTTTGTGTTTTCCTTTGCTTGTTCTCCTTTGTTTTTTTATTTTAATCATGTCTAGTTCTAGAATAGATAGGCTCTTAGGTGATTCTAGTGAGGTCGGGGGCGCCAAGGTGCATTCCCTAGGCCCTGCTGGGGAGGCCAGCTCATCGCTGGACGACTCCCCTCTTCGGCTTTAGAGGGAGCTTCTATGTCTGAAGTTGGGCCATCTCGGCCTGGCGAGCTCGAGGCTTGGGAGGATGGACCGACCTCTAGAACGGAGATCCCATCTTCTTCCCGGGGTCTGGATCCGGACGACTTTGGTCCTTCTACCTTGACCTCGGATAGGTTAATGTACTTAGTAGCCCGCTATCGTCTTCCCGATAGCTTAGTTTTCAGTGTTCCTCTAGGTCAGTATCCTTGGGATCACGACCCTTACGAGCTCGCGGTTTTTGAGGAGCAGCTCACTGTATCTGGAACA